AAATTTTCTACCAATTATGGAATGACGACATTGATCTGAGGAGAAAAATACTGAAGCAATTGTAAACTTAACCCTCTTCACAAACTCAAACTATAATTAATTAAGGACCAAGAACCGTCATCTCTTCCAATCAATACGTTATGGATATTAACTTGACAATAGTTGATGGCAGATATAGAAATGATTGAGGACATACCAATCAGAGATTGTAAACATGGTGATTCAGAACAAAAATTACAAAAGTTCGCATGCCTGAATCCTAAGAATCATGAGAGCATCAACTGTCACTTCCTACAGTAAATTAGCTAAACAAGTATACTATAATTGACAACTCATATTTTATGAATTATAATAATATTCAAGTAGGTAAAATGGCTAAAAAACTAAGTTGTGGAGACGGTTTTAAACTTACCTGTCATTCTTTAGGGCAACCAAACTAGCAACAACATCAGCAGAAAGTGCATATATAGGTCCATAGGAATGAAGAAAGTACTCAGTTCCAAGCAAATAAGATAGAGGCTCATACCTGCAAGATTTTGTCAATAAAATAACTCTTTTAGCCAAGTGCTGTTTATGATTGAAACCTTTAATGTCAGTGTAGCGAACGGGCTATACAGCACAGTTGGTAAACTACGATGCTTTAAAAGTTTCTATAGTTCTTCATAAAAGGTTATGACCAGGATAACAGTGCAGCTGATATATGATGCATGTAGAAGTAAGTTTATGACCAGAAGTTTTAAATCTCTTCAGTACTAATTATGAGTATTTGTAATCCATGCTTCTTTCCAGGTAATGAGGATCCTCAAGCTACAATGGAAGTTCAATACACTTATCCCATGTCATGACAGGCGCAATTACATGCAAAAAAGGGTGAATTAGAAACATCTTTAGAACATAAAGGCATATTAAAGACAACCCAAACAGAACTAACCATTTGAGCTTTGGGTCATTGATAACAGGACCCTTTTTCATGCATCCGATGTAAGTCTGAGGGTGGTTTCGCTCTTTTGCAATTAGTAACGAAAGGCGATCTGTCAATAAATTGAAAATGAACAAAACATGTTGATTAGGGAAACGGGCCACACCTCAAAGAAAGTTCTTAGATGCATCGAAGATGAGCCTTATAAAATCTAATCACCTGGCCTTAAATATATATCATCATCAGCTTTGACATAGAAATCAGCTTCAAAAAGTGCATAGGCAGCTTTGAAGAAAGCTAAGCTGTAAAAAAATAGAATACGCAACTTAGCAACATCCTACAGGCATAAAAGACATTCATCCAAATATTATTAATACTAACGTTTTGTATGGAAGCTTGCTGTACTCCTCTTCAAAATCCAATTGAATAAAGTCATCATGTTCTGCAACTTCCCTCTGTAGTTCTGACATCTTCGATTTGTCATTTGTTCTCCCAATGATAAACCTGAAAGCTAAGCCAGTAGCTTCCTCCAAACTGCAAGCAATAGGCTGTTAGTAAATCTGTGTCAACTAAGTGATTCAACTTCCTATTTCAAAGGAAAAAAAAAGTGAACAGTGCCCTTTGTAAGTTGAAATGTTCAGATAAGCAAGCTACACTGAGGACAAAAACACTAATTGACAGATTTTCAAGCCCAGATTCCATCAGAACATCTAAACCAACAACTAGCCTATAAAAGCAAAAACAGCACATGCAGCTGCGGGGGTGAAATTTCCTTGAATTACACTATTATCATATCAAATTCAATCCCTCCTCCCCCAAATGAAAAAGAAAGGGGACAAGTTGTCAGCCGATGCGTATTAGTGGTTCAGTAATAAGATTCACTAACGGATTTAGAATAAACTTGGACATTTACTTTTGTCAGCCGATGCGACTTGAGGCTTTCTGCAAATTTACACCATTTTTGAATCCAGATTCTCTCATTATGTCCAATTCTCCAACAGAAAACAAATGCACTTCATATGCCATAGACGCACTGCGTGATACTACATCTAGATGCTGAATAGAGTCTATATTAGCTCATATAATACAGAATAGAACATTGAACGAGCGAAATTTTCATTTAATATGCAGCCAACAGCATTTTCCAAAGCCTTAAAAAATATAATTGAAAAAAAAAAAAAGTTGTTTCAGTCAGATTCTCAAATCATTCATTTTTCTTTAAAAGCCCAAGGTTAAGTGGAGTTTATTATGGTGAGATCCGAATGTAACAGGAAAAATGAACTTCCAACGCAATGAAAGATCTATAGCATACCGTTCGAGCCCTTGCCGATCCGGAGGCATCCAAGTCTTCCTCAATGCTTGACGCCTACCCGCAGATCCAAACCCAGTCTGAATACCCACAAATCCCATAACTTTATGCCTACTTCCGGGCCCGCCATTCCCATTGCCATCACCACCGGCGCCGTCACCACCTCCACCACTGTGTTCCCAAGTTACTCGAATCGATCTGGGGTGACTATTCAAGCATTTATACCCCTGAATCGGCCTTAAAAAGGCGGTAATTCCAAAAACAAAACCTGAGACGGCAATCAAAAGGGAGGAGATGAGAAGGAGCGCGGATCTACGAGACGACAATGGAGGTGTACGGCCGTGGAAGGACTTGGGGGAGGAAGACATGACTCATAGAAACCCCAGAACAAGAAGACCAGGCCCTATGAAGGGGAAATGAGGATGAGTGAGCGGTGAGAGTTTGGGATTTGATTCATGGGACATGTGAAGTGACGCTGCTGTACTGAACGAGAGAGATGAAGAAAGAATCTCCATTAAGGAATTAATGAACTAGAAAGTTCCAATATCCGTTATTGACAGTTAGCCACAATGGGCCTCGGGTCTTCTTTCATCCTGGGCCAACTGATCAGCTAACTGAGAACTTCTATTTTTCTTAGGCCTGATTGGGCTTCACCAAATATCTTATCTTATCTAGTCTAGAATCTCACAGAAATAAATTCACGACCATTAACAGGATTGGGTCTAGTAGAAAGAACTAGTTTCTCATAACATGATAAACTAAGATTTGAATTTCCATTGGGAAAGGTGCTTACATTTAGTACCTGATAGTGTCTTGAATAGGATTATTTCTAATAAGAAGATACCTATGTTTTACTCAAAAAAAAAAAAAAAATCATGACCAACAGAGATTGGGAAAAAAGCTAGTCCCTTATAATGTAATGAATCAAATTTTGCTGGGAGAGGTATCCATCTTTTGTGCCCGACAGTGCCTTGAACAAAATTGTCTTTAACAGAAAAATACTTGTGCCTACAAAAAAAAAATGCAACCAACAAATTATATGAAAATGACGTGCCGCCCTTGCGTTGATGACTTATTTACGTTTTGATGCATAAAATAAGGTCTAGAACTTTTAAATGGTAAGATAGTTGGCTTTACTTGATGAATCATATGATAAGAAGCTGCTGGCAATAATATGCGTGATCTATTTTCATCTCGCAAGAATTTGTGGTAAAATATTTGACTTTATCTTGTGTAACAATAATGTGTGTGATGCATTTTTATCTCACAAGAATTTATGAACACTTTGTATTATATACCCCATTTAATCTCGACCATGAGATGAAAGCCCAGCCTGATTTGACAGGTTACTCCAGCAAACCAGTTTTTTTATCAATTCAGCTAAAGGTTTTAGCCTGGTCAATATATATTCTTCCATTATTGATCTTCAAATGACATCACTTTGAGTGAAAAAAAAAAAGAAGTCTATTTGTGTGTTTTATCAACTCTTTTTTATTGAACTATGTTGGTTTACATATGAATATTCCATTTACTTATGAATTAACATCTTTTCTATCTAAATATTGCTCTTTTCGTAATTATATATGAAGATTTAACTCCACCACTGACTTTTGGACCGTTGTCGTAATTAGTTTGTTAAGCGATTTGATTTTCAATGACTCTTCCCAATCTTCTTCTGTTTAAATCATATCTCTGTGCTCAAACTTTTGTCGAGCACTAAATATAAATATTTCTGTTGGCAAAATTGGAATATTGATTCATGAGAGGCTAATTCCTTTCGTATTCTATATAATTGTCCTCCCACATATATAACACTTTTTTTTTTTGGGGCTACTGTTGAGGATCGGCTGAGAGGCAGCTTAACAAATGAAACAGAAAAGAACAAACATATGCGAACAAGTTCAACCAGATTGTCACTGAAGCTCGCCGCTATCCATCCTTATCCATGGAAATGTAGTGCAGATCGTTTTATCCAACAAATTTATACCAAATGGTAAGGTTATCTGCTTGAACGTAACTCATTTAACACACCTTACTTTGCCATCCAACTTGATCTCACCAACTCAACTAATAGAAATAACAAAAAGCTAAGGATCATATTATCATTCCTAAATAAATTGTCATTTTTCTAACATAATTTTTCTCATCAAAAAATTTTGGATCATCATCTTTTTTTTAAAAAAATATATATTAGGGCCCTTGGAATCAATCAAGATAGTAGTATCGTACAGTTGGCAAATTTCTTTTCTTTCTTTCTTTTTTTTTGGGAAAAAAACAAATATTAGTTTTTTTGCCTACAACCCTTCCTTTTACCCCATTTATACCGCATAGGAGATAGAACCCATATCCTGCCCTATGCAAGGGATGTGGGATACCTTTTTCCTTTTTTGCCAGCAACGTAATTACAAGCTGTTGGCACAAATATTAGATTATAACTTACTAATTAAAATTAAAATAACTTACTGTACATAGAACCATTTTTTTTTTAAAAAAAAAAAGAACCTTTTCTTTCGGCTGAAGCCAATTTTAGCTATTGTAACCAGTCCCTTGGTTGGACAGTTGCTCAGGGCAATTATACATTGATCCATTAAGCACAACAGAATAACTGAATAATGTTGCTTACCTATGAAATATGGATGGAGTCTTGATACTTTGATTTTGATCTTCCACACAGGAGCTCAGTGTGTGTGTGTGTGTGAGCGAGTGTGAGAGAGAGAGAGGGAGAGAGATGACTATTTTCAAGTCTAGATGAGTGCGACGGTAGACTTGTAGTTGTAGAATAGTCTTGAATTGTTATAATAAATAGCATTTTATCTACACGCATATCTCATTGCATATCTAGCAAATAGAACATTCAATCTATCTTAATATAAATATGGGAGGGGGGGGGGGACTGAACTCTCCATTTTCCTTTGAGAATGACCGAGCCAAAACTGAGCAAATTCAAACTTTAAAAACGCTCTCCTTAACAGTGAACTTCCTTATGCAAAGGCAAATTAAACAATCTTTCCATGAGTGTTAAGCCTTAGCAATCTCCGCACCCTTGCTCACCAACAATTAACTGTCATCTCCAAAATACAAAATAAAACACGTATCTTACCTCTTAAACAGGATAATCAGAGTATGGAGAAGACCCCTTAATGAATTTTGCCCTTCCTGCTCCTAGCAGCTTGGATCTGATCTGCAAGCGAAACTTCTTTCCGCATTTTTTCCTTCTTGATAAGCTCCAGATCCAATTTCTTAGAGTTTGGAAAAATGGAATTCAAATCTTTTCCTTCCCCATCCCCTTGATCACTAGTGTTCTCCCTTATGCGAAACTAAAGACAGGACACACACAGCATCATTAGAATCTGTAGGTAATGAGGCACATTGCAAACATAGAACAACGGGGTCAAGGGGTATGTTAAAATGAATGTATGCATGGTAGCTCTATTTGATAGGCGCTTGTGAGCCTTATATACCAGACCCGGAAAATGACAACTGTGACAAATATCTATAGGCTAATACTTGGGTAAAATTCTTTAGATGTGGTTGTTAAGGTTAAAGGAACTTTTTTCCGACCAACCATCACATTAGTTCATTCAAAAGAACTTGCTGCGCCATAATTTTACTGGAAAATCTCAACTAGTACATCCTCCCATGGATATTCACGAGACATATACCCACTTACACAGATCTTTTCCTCTCTTGTTCATAGCCAAACCATCATAGAATAACAGTTCTGTATTTCGTAAATGTTAATTGAGGACTTAAGAGTTCCTAAATGACGTAGGAATCAAGTTACTGAACTTCTCCTTTCTTAACCTACACAAACATACAGAACTTTTATCCTTCAAAAATCCCCTTTCATTTTTGTACCGGGAAGAAGTCTAATATTCAACAGATAAACAACACAATCCAGGACTACGTTCATTTTTCCATATATATATGAGCATGTTATTCCTATTTTCAATTGGCTTTACAAAGTTGCGCGCGCGCGCGTGTGCACATGGCCCATGAATGAGGAAATTTGAATCCTTACCTTTAGTTTTGAGGCAAATTTAAAATCCAGAGGAACCTCTAAGTCACCTTTGACTTCCTTTGCTCTTCCATGTGGTTGAGTCTTAATATCCCAGGGGGCCTTGGCCCTCTCTTCGTGCTCCCTTTTCTTTTGCATAAGCATCACCTTTCTTATTGCTTTTATCTGTGCTGCTCTATCAGCTCTTATCCTTGCCATTTCCTTCGCCTTCGCCTTTTCAGCAGATTGCTGAAGCTGATGGTGCACAGCCATTTCTTGTTCTATCTTTTCATAGCTATCCCAGTCTAATTCTCGCTCACCTTTCCCTCCACTTCTAGCTGCTTTGGCTATGCTTATAGCCCATAACTCCATGAATTTCTTTGCTCTGGCAACAGCGATCTGCTTTCCTTTTCCCTTTTGCTTAGCCCATAATAGCTGATGGCGCTCCAATTGTTGTTTTATCTTATCATAGCTATTCCAATCTAGCTCTTCTTGGTCAATTCCTCCTTCCCGAGCCCCATTTGCTATGCTTTCTGCCCATGAAAGGTAAAACTGCTCCTTCAATCTCTTTGATTTCAAACGCTTTTGCCAAACACGTCTCAGTGAAGAACTTATTTTTGCCTTGCTTTGATCACTGCAGAGAAATTGATAGAGATTGAGAAAAATGCCGGAAAGGTCAACCCAAGATCCATTTCAAATACTAAACCAGTAAGTGCAGAATTCCATTAGCTAACTTGAGACTTAAGACATCATGCCAGTAGCTATCAGGTGCACTGAGAACATTTAAAAGATCAGTATGAAGCAGAAACATTATATTAGAATAAATTTTCCTTTATTAAAATTTAATGTTGAGTATTTAATGGGCTCCAAAAATCTAACAACTAATAAGGTTTGCAAACACAAATTAGATTTGAACTAAGAAGATATTATCCAGTCGTATCAAGGATAGAAATTAAAAGCTATATTTACTATCCTCGCTATGTATTCTTAAAAGGGTAAGTACACATTGTTTGAAAAATGAGCTCACACGTTACTCCAAATCAGGCAAGTGGCAATAACCAAAAAGCCCAGAGTCATTTTGCAAAATACTGAATAGACTGTTAATCTGAGAACTATAATTAGTTGCATTGGCTTTTCTAAGCCACTTAATGAACAAAGAGTGAAGTGCCAATGTTACAAGCTTATTGGCTATGTTATTTCAGCACATTTCCAAACAACTACTTGTTTTTATCTTTTATTTTCCTATTGAAAAGCGCAAACCTTTCTACAGAATGGGATTATTTTCTTCTTTAAGCAGGCAAGCAGACAGATGATTTGATGCATGGCAGAGCAGGCATGTTTACCTATGAGTGCGAGGATGTTCAGACATCTTGTTTCTAACCTGAAAATTTGTCAAGATAGGGAAAAAGTGAATATCATTTACTAGGTGAATCAAAAGCAAGGAATTAGATGGTGACATAAAAATATCTGCATTTTCTTTTATTTTCTTCTGTTTTGTTTGGGGTGAAAGTTGTTACTTTAGGTCCTGTGACACTTCAAAATGACAATCATTAGTGTTTAAGAATAAAAAAAAATTAAGAGAATTGTCATGCACTCATAAGGCTTGTCATGTTATCGACAACTATAAGTGAGGGCATATTCCAAAAACTGCAAAAATTTCTTACATGACATCACCTTAGGGTCTCTCAATGCCTCCAGTGTTCTTTGCTTGATTCGCTCCCTGGTCTCTGCATTATTTGTAATACCAGTGTTTCAAAATTAACCAACCAAAATATGCACCAATGTTCATTCATTTGTAATTTCTAACTACCTGCAGTGTGTTTCCTTCCTTTGTTCCAAGGCACTTTGCCCTTGTTGGCCAGTCCTATTTTGGTCCGTCGAATTCTCTCCCTAAGCATTTTGCTATCCAGAGTTTCTACAGAGTTGCTGCAACCAAAAACTCCGTTCCCATTGTTCAATATTGTCTTTTCAGATGAATCAACACTGACTTTTGACTGATTGTACTCACCAGCATCAGACGCCTCTCCATTGTCAGCAGCAACAACCAGTTCCCCAACAGGGCAAACCCTTTGACATGAACAAATAAAATCTAATTTGGGAGTTATAGTCTTCGCAATAGACATTTGATGATGCACTTTCTGTGGGCTTGGAGGATTATGAGTGAAATCCACCACATTGCTCAAAAGTGGCCTTGAATCAATGTTTGAAATATGATTCAAGGGAGAAAGTAAAGCAGACATTCCTCTGATAGGTCTATAGGATAAATTCTTCATTAGATAAATTGTGATACACACAACAGACGGCAATCTGATGCATCAATTTCCATGCATTTGGATAAATAATCAACTACTAATGCCCTAGCAAATAAATTTCGTACAAGTCAAGTCCTCCACAGTTTGTGACTTTGTGATGTCAAGACAATGTCATAGTGGAGGAGTAATTAAGGGTCATAGGATAGAACTCCAATCTCATTTAAACAAATGCATGAACATTAAGAGGCAAAAAGCACGAATGTTGTTTTTCCTCCTTCTTCTACAAAGCAGGTGAATAATGAACTGTCAGCAAACCATAAGAATCCCGACATATTGTTTCACAAAGCTGAAAAATTAAACGGTCAAATTTCAAGGTATTTTATACCTAAACATCGTGAAGTTCGTTGCTTTCTTTCACTCTACAAAACTAAACGACGCTGAGAAATAAAGGACAAATTCACCATTCAAACCAACCATCTACAGTTGAATCGACCCTAACATCATCCATTTGAAACTAAGAGAACTTTTGAAGATGAAACAACGTTAAGGCACATACTGTCACTAAATTCACCGCACCAAAATACTATTATTACTTCAATATTCAAATTCAAACATGAGAAGCACACCAAAAAAGACTAATTGAGTTAGCACGAGCACAGAAAAAAACGGAGCGCGCCAAAACCAGAGACAGAGAATGAGCTTACAATGAATTGAAGGAGAGCATTGGAAAAGTAGGAGACCCCGAAAACTGGAGAAGAAGCAATTAGCAACTGAAGTTGAAGCTCAGGCCCCCAAAAAAAACAAATGAAGGTGAAGCTGAACCCAGATGTCTGCTTCTCAAACGGCACCTAATCTACAACTACAATAATTCTACATTTTCCTAATGAATGGGAAGTAATCCCTTTCCTTCATCCTTTCTCTCACTTCGTTTTCGTTTTACTTTTTCGTAGCCTGAGAATGCAAAGATAATTCAGTCAAAAAGAGAGGGGAATACCGATAAAACAAAATGACCTTAATACCCTCATCTTGCTATGTATGTTCTGCGGGGCTGCAACATTCTTGCAGTATTGTTCTATTCTCAATCTCGATTCAGTGAAGCCTGAAGATCTGAGTTGAGAGTGAAAATTTTAAGATGATTTATCGTCACTGAGTTTACCCAGAAAACAGGGTCCATCAAGATAAATTTCATATTCTTCTGTTTTAATCGATCTTACATACTTTTACTGCTTAGAGACTCACCGCCTCTCTCTTTCTGGATGAGCAAAATCAATCGCCTCCTTCCCTCCTCTGTTTTCTATCCTTTTCCCAACAAAATCAACCACCAGTATACTAACATATTTAGTTGGGAAAATCACGAGTAACTTCACCAAAAAAAATTAATAACTGATCATTTTCTCCGACAGAAGTTGTCAGTTGCATCCTGTTTTAACGAGACATTGGTGAGCAGGGAGCCCATTACCCTTTTTTAACCTTTTATATTTTTTTTCTTTAGGCACACAGGCATTTTCTCTTTTTGGCAAAGACAATCTTACTTAAAGCATCTTCATATATTAGATAAATATAGACACCTCTTTTAACAAAAAATTAAATTTTGGTTCCTTTCATTATAAGTAGTGAAATCATTTAGTACAAAATATTAAAAATAAAAATAGAAATTAAGATTGGAATTAAAGAAATTTATTAAAGGAGTATTTAAAATGAAGAATTATTGTTATATGGGATTGGACAATTAGGAAATATCATGAGAGTGATAGTATTTCATGATCTCATCTTCGTGAATTTGTCTAATATGGTATAATAAGTAATTATTCATATAAAATATCTTTTTAATAATTTTTTTCAATTACAATCTAAATTCTTAATTATCTCTAATTTTACACCTATCGTAACAAACCGTAGCTAAATGTTCTGATCTCATAATCTTTGTTGGGTCAACTGATATTTGTTTACCCGCTTTTACGCTGATGGAAGATTTTAAAACTGAGACACCCAAAAGAAAAAGCTGAAAATCAGAATTTATAAATAAGAAGATCAACTACTACATGATCTTGATGATGACAATCATCTTTGCATCGATAGTAATTTATTTCTTTTTCTATGAAGTTCAGAAATTGCATCGATAGTAATTTATTTCTTTTTCTTTAGTTTTCTGTGGATTTGGTCCTCCTATATATTCATTTTTTTAGTTTGTCCAATAATCAGCACCTTAATCTCCAAGTAACTACTCTAACTATGCTAAACTTGATCAGATTCAACCCTGAGTTCCTTGTTAATTATTTGTTCTTATCCTAAATATAAGAAGTAAATAATTGAATTAAAAAAATTAGTTAAATTAGTTACTTATTAAAAAAATGTGTGTCAATTAAATTATTGATATTAAATTAATCAATATTAATAAATTATCATACTCAACACATGAATTTCTATGAAGTTCAAAAATTGCATCAATAGTAATTTATTTCTTTTTCTTTATTTTTCTTTGGAGTTGGTCCTCCTATATATTCATTTTTTTAGTTTGTTTAATAATCAGCACCTTGATCACCAAGTAACTACTCTAGCTATGCTAAACTTGATCAGATTCAACCCTGAGTTCCTTTTTAATTATCTGTCCTTATCCTAAATAAAAGAAGTAAATAATTGATTTAAAAATAATTAATTAAATTAGTTACTTATTAAAAAAAATGCTTGTCAATTTCTTAAAGTATTCTTTTTAATTATTTGTATTGAAAGTTACTTTCTCCATGGAAAATTTCTCCGTATATGCATTCAGAAAAAAATTATAAATACATTTAGTATTAAAACAAATTTTTCTGTTAGCTATTACATTTCGGGTGAGTATCTGCATTATAAGACTCGACTTTTTTTTTACCCCCCATTCTTAAACATTCCATTTGGCCATAATTAATCCAGAATGTCAAATCAAGAGACTCTTACAAGCTAAGATTAATAACAATTCAAACAAAAGAAAAATTATACGTGTATTGACTTCTTGATTAATAATCAACCCTATCTCAAATAATATATAAAGAAACAAGTATGTAGGATAATTTCCACCATCAAAACAATCAGAAAAAGCCAACATAGTACTCCATTGATCTCATCATGGAATCCAAAGGTGACAACATAGTTCCGTCCGAGGAACACAAGATACACCTGAAGGAGAAGGAGCCTGTAAAGGAATCACCGACATATAAAGATGAAGATGGAGAGAAAGAGATCAACAAGAAGAATAAGGAGGAGAAAGAAAAGAAAGGTAAGAACCTTCGTCACAGAAAGACATTCTGGGTTTGTTTCTCCAATGTAGAGATTGGGTCGAGGGTGTCTTCTCATGATGGAAACAAGAAGAAGAAGAAGAAGGAGCTTGGTGAAGAGTTCAAAGTCAAAGAAGAAGGGATCTTCTTTTCCAACGTTGAGATTGAGCCTGATGAAGAAAGGGAAAAAGTCCAGATGCTTGTGGAGAAATTGAGGAAGAAGTCTTGCTTCCTCATCTGTTGCTCCAACATTGAGGTGGGCCTGTGACATAGGAGCAGTCATTTTAATAATGTTCATGATGTTATATAAATTTGTTTGAATATTTCTTTAGTTTCTCTTTTATTTGGTCTGCTTGTTGTGCTTAAAATTTATGTTATTAGCTTTGGTTTGTTTGTATTGTAAGTTGTAATAAATCGTTTGTAAGCACCACTTTCTTCTTGTGTTTGGAGGTTTATGTTTTGAGATTTGCAGTCTACTCCTTTTATCCTATTTCTTATAAAATATACATCCAAAATACAACAATTTGGTTTAAATACATTTTAAATTCAAAAATGTTTTTTTAATAAAAAGCAATTGTAAAGTAAAAGAAACATGTTCAAAATAAGAGAGTTTCTACGGAAAGAACCCTTAATATATATATATATATATATATCATCAAAAAGTAACAAATTATTGATATTAAATTCATCAATATTAATAGCTTATTATACTCAACATATAAATTCCTATGAAGTTCAAAAATTGCATCAATAGCAATATATTTCTTTTGCTTTAGTTTTCTTTGAATTTGGTCCTCCTACACATTCTGCAAACTGAGTTAGTTTTACTCAATGCATGCTTGGCTCGCTCAACTTAGCAAAAATGTAAACACAGTTAATTTGTGAATTTAACCGAGTTTTCAACTAGCATAACAAGTTTAAGAGCAAGTTAATACAATTTTATAAGGTATGAATCTACAAATAATAATTTAAACAATTTTAATAATATTATTCTTAATAATACTAGAATGTATATGCGGGCGCGTGCAAGTGAGCATTAAAACCATGGTGGAATGAGTCAAGCTTATGCTTAAAACAAAGTCGCATTAAAAATAAACACCTTAATGCCCACGAAACTACCCTGCTATATACTAAACTTGATTATTCAACGTCAGTTGTTGTACGTATATTATATGCATATGGTTCGAGATTTTAAATTTTAAATATACCCCATGTCTTATTCAATGAAAGCTCCAGAATGGCAAATAATACAAGCCAAAATTACACGTAATTTACTACATACAATATGTTTCTATTTATTTTTGTCTCTAATTGGTGACATATGCACATACATAAAGAATTTAAGCAGCCCCATCACATATACAAATATATAAAGAATTTAAGCAGCTTTTCTGGGCTGAGCTTATCATATCAAACAAGCCAGAAAATAGACCAGATCGGTGTTCATCGATCTCATTATGGAGTCCAACAATAAGATAGCCTATGACATAGTTTCCTCCGAGAAGAAGCCCTTGATCGAATACTACTTCGAAGAGCCTATCTTGAAGGAATCACAAACATACAATAATATGGCTGAAGATGAAGAGAAAGATCAGAAGAAGAAGAAGAAGACAGATAAGAAGCTTCTTCGTTTCAGAAACACATTCGGGGTTTGCTTCTCCGCTCTTCAGATTGCGTCGAGAGTATTATTAGCTATATGATATCCATATATATACTTCAAAAACATCCTGATCTGATTCTAAATTAAGACTCTTATATTTGGGACAGGAGGAGTGCTTGTTCTAGTATTGTTAAAATCTGCTATATGTATGTGATGATATTCTGTTCTGTATTTTACCCGATATGTATGCTTTTACCTATATATGCATCGTCGGTTGTGTGATGCTGATGAGAACGGGAGATGGAGAAGGGTTGCGATGAACAATATGATCAAGGTCAAATATGGGCTCTTGTTTTACGATGATGCATACTCATAAATTAATCGTGGGCTCTCCCAACAAGAATTTGAATCTTGATTCATCGTGTTGGGAATGACTCATTCTTTTCATTAGACGTAAACTCATTGATTAGTATTAGTTTTATTTGATATGTTTATTAAGGTTTTGGGGTTTTGTAATAAAAAGTTATTTGTACACAATTATGTTCTTCCGAGCAAGATTGGGGTTGCTGCACTAAGTTTACTTAAATCAAGTTTCTTATATTTATGATATTAAGTTTTCTAATCACACACGTTTATATGTCTTATTTTCAAAATATTAACATTTAAATTTAAATTCAAATGAAACAAAAAAGGATACATGATCATGTATGATTGAAGAACTTGAACCAATGAATATAAGGAACTGAACTTAAATTTTTTCCTAATAGTTATGTTCAATACTTGTATCTAGAGGCCTTTAGCATTAATTTTTTTCCTCTAAACTAGTGTTGTTTAATTTGATATTTCTTGACTATATATTCAACAACTTTTAATTAATAAATTTTATTGAGAATCATTTTGAATTATTACTTTTAAAATTATTAACTGAATTTCTTCATTCATATAAAATTGTTAATAAATTCTTATAATGAGGATGACAAAAAGAATTTTCAGCCAATACATACAGTGATATTGGTAATTATGATATCCTTTCGTATTTATTACTGTGGGGATGTTTCATCTATATATGATGAAAGAAAGTGAAATAGAAAAGGTAATTTTATAAAAGAAAAATTTATTATATCCATAAACAAAATTTGAATATTTGTGCTAAATAATAGTCATAGAGACATAATAAATAATAAATATCATATATAAAAAAACTCCAAACAATCACATGATTTTGGATAGAGATGAAAAAAGTCAAAGAGCAGGATTTGAAAGAACAAAACTTATCTCGTTGCTTATATCCAACACATCCAGTTATCCTATTAATAAGAGACATCTTTTAAAATATCTCACATATATATGATACAACCAAGATCTTATTTAGTTTTTATTTTGATTTTAAATATAAAACCTCAATCCACTTTGTCTCTCATATTTATACATTTTTTTTAAAATAGTCATTCTAATAATAGTAGTTCTAACTAATATATTTCATTAGTAAGAATATTTTAAGAAAGACAATACTTATTTATTACAAATAATTAACTTAATTTATTTATTTTTAATATTTTCAAATTAGTCAACTAGCTCTTATAATTAGGATCGGATGTAGCACTGTGGAAGTTGTTAATGATGATTTGTAGATATTGTACAGATGGCTTTGATTGATAGGACATCTGTATATATTGGATGTAAGCAACTTGCGGTGAGTTTGCTCCTTTTTGAAAATATGCGTCCTTGTCCTATTATTTTACATTTTGCCACATACCTAGGGGTGTTTGGATAGAAACAAAACCATAGTTTCAGAAGTGCTTTTACGGATTACGAAGTAAATATGTGGAGGAGGTTACCTTGTTTTGCAGAAAAGTGATTCTGAAACCTAGGTTTTGGTTTTGCCAAACACCCCCTTAATCCCAATTTGTGTCTCATAATCTTGCTTTTTCCCCCGTTTCGTCTAATATAAAAAACGCAACTAAATTTTTTTTTAATCTTTAAATGTACAGGAAAAATACCACGTAGCATAAACTTATTGGTAGATGGATCAAATAAAAATATATTCCCTCCCGTCTTTAATATAATACCTCATTTAATTTTTATTTTGGTCCTAAATATAAGACTCTAATCCATATTTACACATTTTTTTAAAAGTAGTCTTTCTAATAATGATAATTCTAATCAATACATTTCATTAGAAAAGACATTTTAAGAAAGACAAAACTTATTTATTATAAATAACTAACTTAACTTCTTTTCTTAATTTTTTCAAATTGGTCAACTAGCTCTTATAATTGGGACCGGAGGTAGTACATGTGATAAATAATAAAGCCATATATTTTAATGTTACAGATAAAAAGAGGGCTAAGTTGCTGCCTAGAAACATTTTCCCATGTACATCCAATACTTTAAAGTATTTTGTAGTATATATAATATTTTAAGATATTTTTTTTCAGATGCGTCTATTACCGTGAAGTATTTTGTAGTGCTTTTAATACCTTAAAATATTTTTTTAAGTACATCTAACATCTAAAAAATACTGAAAAAAAAAACTTTATAGTGCTTGATATATATTCATTTAATTGACATTTTGAGGAGTTAATAAAAAATTAAAATTGCTCATGAAAGAAAACTTTAAAAGCACAACTACTTATGAAAAATATAATACTTAAAGAACAAAACTACACTACAAAATATTTTATAGTACTGAATACGTACAAAATAATATTTTATAGTGTTGAAAGCATTACAAAATACTCTAAAATATTAAATGTACTCGACAAAATATTTCAGGATACCAAACACAATCTACCCAATAAAAAATTATGAAATCGTAAAGCCAACTTTATAATTCATATAATATTCTAATATAATCTCGTAATACCAGGTAGTAGATAAGAAAAAGGAAAAATCTTAAAAAAAAAGACTGTTGTTGAAATAGAAAAATTATAAATATGGATTCATAATAACATTAGTATGAGTTTTGACAATAATAATACGAGTTTTGATAACAATTTTTATGAACGGGTTCTTATACGCAAATTTTTTTTTTATTTTGGCTGTTTTTTTTGTTGTTGCGATTTTCCAAAAAAAATAACATACGTACTATGCAAGTGATCAGCGATAAACTCAAAGTATAATAAATTTATACAGTCATGACGGCAGAAAGAGTAATTTCCCATAGTTGGCAAAAAAATAACTCTTAATTAGCCTTTCTCTTTTTTTGGGACAGTTTTCCCCCCTAAAACATAGGTATTCTTCTATTGGAGATAATCTTATTTGAAATATTGTTAGGTACTAAATATTGGCACCTTTTCTAATGGCTATTCAAATCTTGGTTCGTCATGTTGTGAAGGACTAATTCTTTCCGTTAAATCCAATCTTTATTAGTTTGGGCTTTTTTTTTTTGATTTAATGGACAGTTTTTTTAATTTCATATTTTCATGTCAAAAACATGTAAAGAAGAGGCCTCAAACTTGTTCTATCCAAGAGGAGGCCTTATTAAACGATACGGAAGCCTTTCATTCTGGCCCAAATATCCATCGCATAAAAAAATATAAAAATACATATAGCTATTCGGCCTGGCACGAAGCAGCGATTGCCTTTGGCTTCTTGATTCTCTTTCCGCTTCTCGTGGCTTGCTCCTGAACTCTCACTGGTACCCTCCCTTAGGGTTAGGGTTTTGGCTATACGGTCTCGACTTTTTCGTCCGTTTCCATGGATCCCACCAAGAAGCGAAAGCTTGATGACAACGGCGTCGTCCCTCCTGATTCCGACTTAAACCTCACTCCTTCCGACGCTCGTAAAATCATTGAGCGCTTCAGCCCCGAGCAGCTCATCGATGTTCTCCAGGAAGCCGTCGCTCGCCACGCTGACGTCCTCGACGCCGTGCGGTCAATCGCAGACCCTGATGTTACCCAGCGTAAGCTGTTTATCCGTGGTCTTGGATGGGAGACCACCACTGACGGCCTTCGCTCCCTGTTTTCCGCCTATGGTGAGCTTGAAGAAGCCATTGTGATTCTTGATAAGGCCACCGGTAAGTCTAAGGGTTATGGTTTTGTCACCTTTAAGCACGTCGATGGCGCTTTGCTTGCTCTGAAAGAACCCAGCAAGAGGATAGATGGTCGCGTTACTGTTACGCAGCTTGCTGCAGCTGGGAATACGGGATCAAATACCAATGCTGCCGACATAGCGATGCGGAAGATATATGTTGCGAATGTGCCGTCTGATCTACCGGCCGACAAATTGTTGGCTCACTTCTCACTTTATGGAGAGATTGAGGAGGGGCCATTAGGGTTTGATAAGCAGACTGGTAAGTCGAAGGGGTTTGCACTTTTTGTGTACAAGACGCCAGAGGGCGCGCAAGCGGCACTTGTGGATCCGGTGAAGATGGTCGAGGGAAGGCAGCTGAATTGCAAGTTAGCGATAACCGATGGGAAGCAAGGGAAGCGAGGTGGTGCTGGGCCGATGGGACCTGACGGAATTCAAGGTCCAGGGAATGCTCATGGTGACGGAATGGGTTTGGCTCCACCGTCTTCCATGCCAGGGTCGCTTTCCGGTCAGTATGGGGGCCCTGTCGGCATGGGATCATATGGGGGTTTTGGGAGTGGGCTTCCTGGTCAGCCTCCGTTGGGGAATCATCCTCTGAACTCATCTGTGGGTGGCACGGGTTTGTCTTCGGCAGGTAATCAAGCGCCCTCTTCCCTCGGAGGTACTGGCGGGTATAGTTCTGGGCTGGGCGGTCCTTATGGTGGCTACGGTGGGCCTGGTTCGACTGGTTACGGTGCACTGGGGGGTGGCGGCGGGGCAGGTTTGGGTGGAGGTAGTGGCGGGCTGGCCGCTGGTGGAATTGGTGGTGCTGGTGGTGGATTGGGGGCTGCCGGTTCTTTGTACAGATTGCCAACTTCAGTGGGAATGCCAACCGGTGGCTATCAAGATAGTGGACCTTACGGTTTATCTTCCGGGTATCCAAATCAACATCACCAGCCTACTGGAGCCTCCCCTGTACCTAGGGTTCCACCTGGTGCCATGTATCCGAATGTACCTCCTTACTACTGAGGTAATCCTTTCTTGGTTGGATTTGTGATTGCCATCAGCATTGGGTGAGTGAATGTGTTCTATTTTGAGGTTATTTTGAGGTTTGCCAATTTTGAATTACTAATGCTATCTTGCTTGCGAAAAGATTTTGTTATAGGCATTCCACTGGGTGATTTCTCTTAGTTTTCATATCGTGATATGAGTGTTGCTTGCTGTACTTAAAGTCTGATGGATTCTTTTGCTTTGCTTTGTCTTCATCAAATCGAATATTGAATTCCTCCTTACATGACTTGATACGCTATCTCATTTTGGCTTTGGCATTGTTATTGGTTGTGTTTTATGAATAATCAGTGTTGAAGCTGACCTTTTTTTTTTTTTTTTTTAAAAACCTTGAAGTGGTGTTCAATATTTGCTTTGTTGACCTTATGTTTGTTATATATAACTTTGTCATTGTATTCCTCAGTTAAAGAAGTGGCAATTAAGCCTCATTTGTAATGTTGATGGATGTATTTATTTCTTGCCATTAAGATTCATCAACTGTGATTCTTCTCATGCTGCTTTGTCTAGGAAAGATCTAAAATGGAAACGGTTGGAGCACCCCCCCCCAAAAAAAAGAAGAAATGTGTATGTAATTCTGGTTTTTAATGTGGTTGAGCCTATGGTGGTCAAAGTTGTTCCTTGTCCCTTTTTAAGGGTTTTCTAATCTACAATGTACAAGCCAAATAGAATTAAGGAAGTTAAAACTTCTCTGTGATGCTTAGCAGTTACTTCATGGTCTTGGATAAGGCTTTAGGCCTTAACACACACACACACACACACACACACACAAGTATATATCCCAATCTGCTATGGTCTCGAGATTTTGCGTTACAGAAATGTTTAAATTCTACAGTGCCAATTCAGTGGCCATAAAAAGACATGCTGTTATTCAATAAATAATAATTTAATAATTTTGGTGGTATGATGTTATGATTCTACCGCATGACATATTCTTGATTTCTATCATGTTCGGAGGTCAATTGTTTACAGACTTTTGTCATTAACAACACTTGAGTATCTGGGGTTTAGGGTCTGTTTGGTATGAAGGAAATGGAGGGGAAGAATGGGGGTGGATTTCAAGGAACTCCGTTTGAAAAATTAGAGATATGGGATTCAAAGCTTTTAATTAATTTTTCTTACTTTTTATTGTACATCTCTTAGTCAAAATTTTAGAACTCCACTTCTCTAATTTTTAAAATCAATCTCATTAAAATTTTTTCTCCCCTCCAGTCCCTCATACCCAACAGAGGGTTATATTTGTGGCACTGCTTTCAAATGTGACATCATAAGTGAATTAAGCAGGCAGGGGAATGAATATATTTCAATTCTCAGATTGCTCTTTTTAAGGTTTTTATTTTAGTCATTATCATTTATTTATTTATTTTTTTTCTGTCCTGGTAATTGTTAGTTTTTCTGACAAATCTCATCATCTGCATGTTTCATGCCATGACTTGTATGTGGAAAGTTGGCGAATGTTTGACTCATCATAATTTTGCTTTTTTGTTTCACTATGTTACGTATGCATGTTCTTCATGCATGCCCAATCTCTGTTGATTGTTTAATATTGGCTTTGACATTAAGATGTGGATGGTGAGATTCTGTACCTTGATGTGATATTTTGAGCTGTCCTGCTGAAGGGTTTGGCAATTATCTGCTTGTTTGCTTTGTGCTATTGCTTTTTAAAATTAGTTTTCTTTGATTGATGGTTGTGGAATGATGGATTGAGTTGCATGGGTATTTGATTCAGGTGTTCCATCACTTATTGGCGCAGATGCTTTATGTGGTTCTGGTGATTACGTGATTGCAGACTATGTGCTTCTGGTGTGATGAATGTATTAGCCTGTCCATTTACAGCCACTTTTCTTCATCTGCACTTAGGCTATGATTAATGAGTTTAGTTAGTCAAAGCTACTGAGTTAGATTAGTCTTGTACTTTTAAGTTTTGAATGGGGAATGTGTTTTTGACATGTTTTCATTAATGTTCATGACTTCTTATTTTAGTTACAACTTCCTTTTGATGTCTGGAATATAAGCTATTCAACATGGAGGTTGTTTCAGTTTTCTAGGTTATTCTTTTTTGTTTTTCCCCCTCTTGTGGGGTTATGTACTGGTGACTTAAGGATGTCCTCATGCGGGGACTTTCATTGTACACATATGAGCCGTTATGTAACCATAATAATGTTAAGGATTGATGGTAATAATTTCAGTTTGCCTGACAAATTGTCTTTGGCCAACGTTGATTTATACAACAGAATTAAAGATACAATTAAACTTTGTAAGCCGTTAAAGGATCTTCTCATTTCTTAAGTATCTTCTGCTCTTCTAGCAATTAAACTATGATATTGTGTTATAGTTTATTGGTTGGTTCGGCATCCACATCTCTACGTTGGTTGTTTGCTTGAACTTGGAGGCATGCTCAATGGGATGAATGTAGTTTCCCTGATATGATGGTGTTAAGTTTGTGTTGTATGGATGCGTAGTCAACTCCTTGCTGGTTGGCAAGTTTTGCTACCTTACTGAGTATTGACTGTTTCTGTTGGTTTTCACCGATGAGCTATTCCTACATTTACTATCTAGTTTTTATTGTTCACTAAGCATCCTAATGTGTGGTTCATTAATTGAGCTTCTGTATTCTAAGCAGTGGTATGTGATGGAAGAATATTAGCCGTGATACTCTATTAACTAGCTTTAGTGTAAATATTCTTTGCTCGGTAGCATTTACTCTTTCCCTCACTTATTTCTGCTGAATCAGTGGGATTGAAAAGCAAACATGTTGCTATCCTCTCCCCAATGTGTATTGCACTCTTTCGCGAATATCATTGAATAATGGGTCAAAGTGCAAACTTGCTCTGAAAGTTTTTACTTGGAAGTGCCAGAATTTTTGGGATTCAATATTGTGCCAAAAGGTTAAATTTTTAACAATTTTGCCACTTACTGATTAAAATTTTAATAATTAATGTCACTATTTTAACAGTCAACATTATTTTTTTAATGACGGGGTAAAAATGCTATGATTTTAAACTTTCAGGTAATATTGAGTCTAAAAAAACTTGCGAGAGTGTCCAATGCTTTTGAGTGATAACTTGAGGCAAATCTGCATCTTAATACTTGAATTATTTTCCATCCTTTTTGTTCAGTATGTTTTATACTCAGTTTCAAATTCGCTCTACTGCCTCACAGCTTAGTAGGGAATCTATAGGTGAACTTGGTCTTCTGAGATACATAGACAACAAGACTGGAATAGTGAGTGTGGACAATAGTACTTGTCAGATGACTTTCAATTGAGCTCCATCTGACTTGCTCAAATGGCTATTTCTTTCTGGCTTAATCTGATTAAATAGTGGAAGTGATCTAGAATTTCAAGACCCATTCTTTGTGTCTATGAATTGCTGAATTCTGTGTCATGCCTTTACTCTTGGTTTCTTCTTTCATACTTTTTTGAGAGAAAATTTGCTGCATTTAGTTGAACCCGTGGAGTGATCTTAATTGTGGATGGTTCTATGCTGGGGGATACTGTCCCTTATTGTGCTCTCTCTATAACTATATACCAGTTTGATTACCTGGCATTCCGCTCTTCTGCCTGCTTCCAACAATCTATTTGTCTGACATTCTCTTACCGTAAGGACATACTGAAGTTTGAGTCATGTCAGAAGTTTGTTGTCCGACAAAAATTTATATACAGAAGGAAGCTGCTTTTTTTAATTTTATATTCTACACAATTAAGATATTAAAATTTATCTGAGTTGCTAATTTTGTGGGTTTTTCGTTATCCGACTGCTATCTTATTGAGAAATAAACCTCATGGCATCCCTCAATATGAGAGCAATAAGCAAGTGAGCGTTTTGCTGTCTGCAGTTATCTTTGCTTTGGCCATTGGTTGTGGCTTTTTTCCATATGGTGAATTTGCATGTCACGGTGAACGATGATGCTTGTTTTGCTTTCTTATCCATCGCTCAAATTGAACAAACAATTGTACTTGGCTCTGGGGTTGCTCTTTTGGTGACCTTATATGGTTGCAAGGGCAGATAACTGTTTTTAATGAGTTGGTTGAAAGATAGCCTAGAATATTCTTCACATTCCTGAATGATTTACTTGCTACAACATGATGAGTTACTTCTTTCGTTGTGGGCCGTTGGTGGCCAGACATTAGAGAATGTCTTCTTGGATTCTCATATATGTTGGATTTTAAGCGGGTGCCCTTTTGTCGCATGAAATCACATTTGAGAATAATGTCTTAACCCTCATGATTGTTTTTCCCATTTGGCAAAATGCTCCTTTCCTCTCTTCCTACGGCTGAAAACTATGGGGGAGTTTCGAAGCCTGATTGAAGCTGAGATTAAGATTTCCATCATATTGAAGAAAAGTTTTCAATGCTGTTCTTGTTGAGTCTGAACCAAAGGACGCTGCAGCCTACTAAAGTTTTTGCCGAAGTGCCTTGCAGTGGTATCACTATTATTGAGAAGACCCCAAGGCAGAAGTGAATATTGTGACTTCTGTACGTGATCTGTCCTTTCTTCTCCCTTCCACACGCTGCCCCCTTTGCTGCCCACAGATTCAATCAACACACTGAATTTTTCTTGGATCGATTGTAAAATGGGACGAATAGATTTGACGTTATTGTACTTTTGTTTCCCTTAATTTTCTGTGTTTTCCATTGTTTTCGTGATCTTTATGAAGCTTGTACGACTGACACGATTAATCTAATGTCTAGGCTCTCAGATTACTTGCTCCGACGTTACGATAGCCCTTGGGAATGCGGTCGCAATTAATTTGTCATTGATAATTTACAACCCGTGAAAATTTTATAGACTACTTTTAGCCTTTTTAGAAGGGGAATGGTATTTAAGAAATGAGTTAATACAAACTTTGATCCGTCTGTTTTTAATTTGATTTTAGTCTCTTAAATTTTAGACTATAGGTTTTGGTCCCTCAAGGGATAAAATAGTATAAGATTTTATTGGATTTATAGGGATTAATGTTTTATATAAAAAGAAATTTGAAGAATCAAAATTTATAGTTTGAAATTTGAGGGTTTAAAACTAAAATAAAAATGAACTTGAGGGATCAAAATTTGTATTAACCTTAAGAAATTCATAAATTGAATGGTGGATTTCAAGAAATTTTGATTAAAGACGAGTGCTTAATTCGCAATCCAAAATTTCTTTGCTTTCCCTGCCAGGTCGATCCTCCAGAATCTCTCCATTTACAGTTTGAAATTCTGTGAAGGTAAATGGTATGATATTAAACAGTGAGAGTTATCAAAATGTTCTCAATAAAATTGATGTGAAGGAGATCTTAGTTAATAAGATAAAGAATTTGTTATTTCTTTTTTCATGAGGAAAACACAGGGAAGTTCTTACAATTTTTTTTGCCCATAACTAGAGGCAGAGTCAGGTTTATATAGAAGCTCGGTGTTATTATATGACAAAATCTTAATAGTAGATATTATTATGACGGGTAAGTGTCATAATGACTTGTCATTTAATAATCACAACTACTCTAATAATGACACAACTATTCTTACAACTACTCTCATAATAACAACTGTCTTGATTATTACAAGAAGACGAAATAGATTGCAGGACTAAATATTTTAATAAAGTAAAAATAGATGGCAACATAAAGTGGTCTTCTGGCGGTTTTTTTTTAAAGAATTATAGGTATTTATTGCTGGTTAAAAAAAATACTTATATGTATTCATATGAAATATGTATATATTAATACATACAGAAGTATATAAGAAAAATATATTTTTTAATTATAAAAAACTACATGTGATTATTATCCGTGCTCGTTTAAGCATCATCTCATGGCTTTGTTACTGATTCATGGAATCACAGGGACCTGGGTTTTGTTGGTGGCTGGGATGTTTCTAGCACTAATTTTAGGGACTTAAATTAATTGAGAAAACTTGAAGGACTCAATTAAAAAAAAAAGCAACAAATACTAAATTGAGAAATGAGGTGAAATTTAAATACTTGCATATTAATTTTTCCTTCAAGTATGGTTTATTGAAAGATCGAGTTCAACTAGATAATGTGCAACCCACAATCGTTTGGTCGGTATTTTTATGCGATTGTGCCTAACCACCATTGCCATTGGGTTACAAGAATTTGTAAATTATAATCGTGGAGAATTATACATTATATTTTTAAAATTATGTAGATCAAATCATTGAGAAAATTGTTTAGGGTAAAATTCATTTTTCATATTATCTAATTTAAATAATTATTTAAGATTTATACATAAAAAATTTGTAAACAAAAAGTTTAGATATATAAATAGATAATATAATTATTGATTTCAAAATATGTTTAAGTTAATTAGTAAAAGAGTGAAAATTTAGAATTTTAATCAAATAAAAAATAAATACGAAATCACAACAACGTTGAATGGGATTATATTTTTTACTACTGTTTAGGAAGATGTCTACAAATTTGGAAATTACTAATATACAATGGTTCATATGATATATTTCATTTGGTATGAAGTTTTTATTTGCAGGATAGATTTCGGTAATCTCAAACATCTAGATATAGATTTTAACAATAAAATATCAATTTTTGCATACAAGTTTTTCCCTTTTTTCTTTTTTTGAGATAAAGTTTGAAAGCAGAATCTAAGTGAAAGTATTTTTTTCTTGATTTTTCCCGTTTTTCCAAAACTTTTTGGAAGATAATTTTAAGGATAAGAGGCCATTCCTCAATTAGATTTTCCCATAAAACTAGTTATAACAAATTTATTTATTTTATTTCATCTTGTCTTTTCAATCTTTTTAATTTCTAATATGGTATAATAAAAAGTAGCGTTAAAAAAAACACAGCATTAACAGATGCCAAGAAAAACGTATAAGATAAATTAAAAATTCATATAAATTATTGTATGTATAAAAATTGAGTAAAATTACATAATCAAACTCATAATTTAATATTTATTTATTCTGTTAATGACATTTTACTTTTAAAATAGTTGGAACAGGTTAGTCTTCATGGGATGATTGCGAAAAAAATATTTAAATGACAGATGATATCAGATAATTAAAATTTATCAAGACAATTAATACAATAAAAATACTGTGAGAATAATTTTAAAAACTATATCCATCCTAAATCCAGAGATGTCATCATCGGATAAATTGTGTGTTGTGTGTGTGTGTGTGTTGTTAATTTAACCATATAAACTATAAATTACACATATATCATTGGCTCCCCAGGAAGAAGTACCTGAATTTGAT